GTGATCCCTTCATAAGGCATAGAAATGTCTAATCCCTATGTTGAACGCCTGGAACTCATATCATATTGTGTGTCAACTATAACCAAAGATTTTTAACATTAAAGTAAAATAAAATAAAAAGAACTGGGCTGATCATCTCTGAGGAATCTGAACAGGGCAAGGTACCAAGGAGCCTTCAGGGCTCCCAACCCTGGACCCTATGTCCTTGGCCATGAGCAAGGGTGTTACTGCTGGGAGCCCTGGTGGCCCAGCCTCCCTGGTGGACAGGCTTCCTGGGAGCCTTGGGTGAGAGGATGTACACGGGTGGGAGGGGGTGATGGGAAGAGCACCTCTCAGCTGACACCATGACATTGCTGGGGAGGACAGGAATTACCGTGAGGATTTAGAGGGGCGGGGTCGCCTCGAAGCAATCAACAAGGAGACTTCCTTTTTAGGGCTGTGGTGATGATTCTTACCCCCAGGCCCAGGTGACCTGCGCCCCAGGGTTTCAGCGAGGAAAGAGCTGTACGGAATGAGAATGACAGGAGAGGCTGGGGTGCGGCCCCAGGCAAATGATTCAAGAGAGAGAAAAGCAGGACTCGGGTGGCAGCAGCCCCCTGACCTGTTCATCATCCTTAATGGCTCGACTTTCCCCAACGTGGGGTGATCAGCTCCACACTCACAAACCTCGGGGACTGTGTGGGCATTTCTGGGGTGGATCTCACCCCCCCCACCCCGTGGGGTTTGTTGGGCCGGTAGGCGGGGAAGGGAGGTAGCTGCACTGCGGTGGCCTCGGACAGACGCCCGTGAGTGGGGCGCGTCTTGCGGAGCCTGCAGCAGCCTGAGAGAAGCTCGGTCAGTCCGCACGCCCTCTGACTGCACTGCAGTGTACAACGCGTTCAACCCGCTGAACTCTTCCGAACACTGCACAGCACACAGTCAGCACCCAGAACAAGAGCCAGAGGCCCCCAGCCGCCCCGCAGTCCCTGTTGGGCATTTGGTCAGTCCCCGCCCCTATTCCTCACCTGACCCTCCAGGACCAGGTCACATATTGCGTTTAGGCATCACATCTTGGTAGGCCCAGTAATCTGCAGCAAGGCCTCAGTCCCTCCTGTCCCTCACACCCGGGACACTTTGGAAGAGTACAAGGCAGTTGTGCAGAATGGTCCTCGTTCTGTTTCCCAGGATTTCTCCATGATTAGGTTCAAGGGACATGTCCTCGGCCAGAACACTAAGATAGTGAGTGATGTTGCATCCTTCCCGAAGAAGCATCTCTGCAAACATGGGCTAGCCCCCTGGCTCTCATGAATGAGACTCATTCTAATCACCTGGCCAAGGTGTTGTCCAGTTTCTTCCCTATGCCGTTACTAAGTTCCCTTTGCCACTAACAGGAGCTGTGTCAGAAGATGTTTGAAGACCTTATAAACATTTTCTTTCTCATCAAACTCCACCCCCCCCACCCACACTTTAGTATCCACGGATGAGTCTCCTCCAGCGAATCTTCACTGCAACACAGGTTGCCAAGTGGTGATTTTCACCTTCACCCTTCCTTTCATGTGTGTTAGTTGGCATATCTACTGAAAGGAAGAGCCCGCCTCCGCCATTTATTTATTGATGCATTACCAATGAGTAATCACAGGTTCCTGTCTCATTCTATCTTTGTTTTGATGCCTGTATGTCATAGATTTACCCAGTGGGGGCCTTTCAGGCCAGTTCCTGTGAATTTTTAGCCCGCCCCCCATTTTTTCTCTAACTTTCTATTACAACAAGATATTCTTGGCTCTGCTGGTACGTTCTGTGCCTAGTCATGGAATCAATCACTTCTCCAAGGAAAATTTCTGGTGGTGGAGAATGTATTTAGAACCCAAGACCTGGTAGTAAGATGTGTTCATCAATACCAGGATATCATGGTTCTCAGTTTTCTGACGGTATTTGAAAATCTCTTAATAAGCAAATTAAGCCTGTTTATAAATTCATATACTGATCAGTTTGGTTTCAACTCTGTCATATTATTTTGTTATAACTAATGCATGTATAATGCTCTACTTGAGTTTTTATCACTCTTCTTTACCATTTAAGATAGATTTATAAGGGGTTTAGAATAATAGGGTTTCCCAACTTTAAAATTTTTTATTTTGCTTTGGTGTAGGTTATATATTTTTATATTATCTTTAATCCCTTCTTTGTTCCTTAACCTTTTAATTTCTCATCTGTCCATTTTCTATACTTTCCTTTTGCTCCCACATATGACCTATTTAACAATTCTGGTTTCCTTTTCCTCTCCCCTCTCCTCCAATTGTTTGTAGTTGTACCTGTTCTAAATTCTCAGGAAGTATAACATATACTAACTGTTCTCCCACCAATTAAATGTATGAGTGTTCTCAGTCGTTTTGCTGGCTTCTTCCCTTACCTCTTGGTTGGAGAAGCTCATTCTTCCAGAAAAGAAATGTGACTTGCTCTGAATTTTTGCCCTCGGTTCACATCTGCCTATAACTTTGATCCTTGACGTATGGACACAAAAATCCTTGGCTAGTATTTTCTTTCTTTGAGTTTCTTGGAAATGCTGTTCCACTGTTGCCTTGCTTGGTATGTGGTGAAGAAATCTGATGCCAGCCTAAGTTACCTCTGGAAGCCATTCAATCTTTTTGTCTTGAATTGATTATCCCAGGCAACTTCCCAAGGTATGTGGAAGTTGCTTTAGATAGGTAATTTAAATGTTCTCTTATTTCTGGATTACTTTATGTGGTTATAGATTTTTTTCAGTTTTATTAAGATGTAATTATCATGAGCACTGTGTAAGTTTAAGGTGTACAGCATAATGACTTGACTAACATATATTGTGAAAAAGTTACCATAATATCCTTTATCTTGTACAGATATATTTGTAGAAATGTCTTTTTCCCGTGTGATAACAACTCAAGATCAACTCTCTTAACTTTCAAATAGTGTTACGTAGAGCAGTGTTAGCTATATTACCATGTTGTACCTTATGTCTGGGACTATAATTCATTGTTTGATGTTTCTACTTTGAGAACTCCGGTTATATGTATTTTGGTTCTTCTTTTCTTTCACTTCATCTACTTTTTCCTTCTTTATTTATCTGATTTGCAATTTCTTAACTTATTGTGGTTCTTTAGAGTCCTTTTATATATTTTTATTTGAATATGCTCTCCCTTGGGCACCTTGTAATTATTTTTTGTTCCTGGGATAGTTTTATCTTTATTTTTTCATTTCTTTCCTGATTCGACCAACTCTTTTTGCATTTCTTCTGAGTTTTTGTCTATTCTTAGTATTTGAATTTTTGATTATAGTTGAATAGATGTATGTGTATGTATGTGTTTGTGTGTCCAAATACCCGATACTTTGTCTAGTTTGATAGTTGGATATGCGGTGTTAACAGTTTTCTCCTGCTTCCTTGTTTTATTGGGGGTGGGTTATCAGCTAAAATGTTACGATTCACTTTTCTCATCATAATAAACACGGTTAATTTTCTGGGTTTTTTTTTTTACAATAGCTTTGTGTGCAGCTAATGCACTGTTTTTGTTACCAAGCATTTTGACACAGTGTTCCTGGTTCAAGGATGTTCTGTCTGTACGCTCACGTGCAGTTTTTCATAGATACCAGTGGCTAGGCGGGGAAGTCACTGTCTTCTATTTTGACAGTATCTTTAATTTTCCCTTCTTCTTCTTTCCTTTCTCTGCCAGGCTTCCAAAGGGCAGTACCCTTTCTCTATCTCTCTGACTTTTCCCAGAAGCAAGGCTTCTTCAAGGCTGCCACCTCCTGTCCTGTTCTCTTTCAAACCTCTTCTGAATCAAATACCAGACCTGTGTTCAGGTTTTAGTTCTTGGCCTTGGACTTTCTCTTCATGGAGGGATTTAAGCCTAGGTTCACTTAAGTCCTTCGCCACAGTGGGAGGGAGCTCTGTTGAAAGTTGATGTCCGTTCTTCTACTTGAGAAGTAGTTTGAAGTTCAGTTTATGGCGCTTCCTCTGCCAGGAGCACTGGAGGCTCATTTGCTCCCGCGTGTTTTGCTGAGCATATGAGGAGATTCCGATTCAGGCAGCTGTCATTATCCTCTAGACCCGGGAGCTCCTGACATAACTTTTAAAATATCGAGTGCCAAGTAACATTTTTGTTTTTCGTTTCTAGGAACACTGGAAACTTTGCAGTCAGAAGGGCACCATCAGGGTTACGTAGATTCTGTTACAAGACAGATCTGCCTTCGTGCATCTTTAAAGATGTTGAGTGTGCTAACTCTTCTTTTAAGAAAGCAATTAAAAAGCTTTTAAAATATATAGTTTCCCTTTTCCTCATTTCATGTTTACTTAAAAAAAAAAAACACCCCTGCTATTAAGCGCTGCGTTTATTCCCAGAAAAATGTTCCCTTGAAGACGACCTCTCTCAGCTTCTACCTCTAGGCCCCCACCTCTGCAAATGAATAAATAAAACCGACACCTGGGGATCAGGGACGTTTAGAAGCAAGATTAGTAAGAAAACTGCAGCGAGCAGCCGCGAGGTCAGGTCCAGAAGGGGGTTGCAGCAAAAGACTCAGGTAGGTGAGCCAATAAAAGAGACCCTTTTAGGGGTCTGACGTGGTTCGGAAGAACCAGTCGGTAGTCTCCCCAGGGTAGCAAGCACGAAGCGGCAGTGACCCAGCGTCCCCCGTGCGTGTGCACGTGCGTACGAGCTCGGGTGCGCGCGCTCCTCCGGGTCCGGGCAGCCACCTGTCACTCACGGGGGGCGGAGGGGAGCGCGGGCGGACGCAGAGGGGGCGGGGCGGCTGGCGCGCTGCGGCGCCGGGGACGCGCTAATCCCCTCTCCTCCGCCCGCGCCCCGCCGCCCGCTGATTGGTCGCCCTTTGCTCCCTGACCCCCCGGCCGCCTCCGGAGCCGCGGCTTCCTGCTCGGGGACTGCGCGGCGGTCCCGGCCCGGGGCGGAGCTCCGCGCCCGGCGCGCCCGCCCCCGCTGCCCCGCCGAGCGGGGAGCGCGCGCCGGAGGAGGAGCCGCGCCGCGCCCTTCCCCTTCCTCCGCTCCGCCCCGGCGCGCCCCGCCGGCCCGCCCGCCTGCCCGCCGGCCCCAGGCAGCACTCGCAGGCAGCGGCGCCGCGGCCGGCGGCCGAGTGGGGAGAATGCGGCGGCGCTCGCGGATGCTGCTGTGCTTCGCCTTCCTGTGGGTGCTGGGCATCGCCTACTACATGTACTCCGGGGGCGGCTCCGCGCTGGCCGCGGGCGCGAGCGGCGGTGCGGGCAGGAAGGTGAGTGAGTGGGCGCCCGCCCGCGGCCCGGCCCCTCGAACCCGGACCCCCTGCCACCCCCGCGCCCGGCCCTCCCGACGCCCCTGCTCGGACGTGGCCGCCGGGCGTCCAGGGGAGCTCCCCGCCCCTCCTGCTCTCCTCCGTTCGGACCTCCGCTCGGGCCCCCTCCCCGGGCCTCCCTCGGAGTTCCCGGGGCGGCGGGCGCACCGGTTCCTCCGCGCTCGCCGGGCTCGGAAGAGGGCCACCCGGCTCAGCCCCGCTGGGCTGGAAACCGCGGGTGCCTTTCTTGTCGCCCCCTTCCCGCTCCGTAGACGTCCCCTCTGCTTCACGTAATGAGCTGAGTCTTGTCCGGCCGCCGGAGCCCCATCCCCGGCGGTGGGAAGTTTAGGGGTGCGAGTGTTGCGCGGGTGTTAGGAAACACAAAAGGGGGTGGGGAGGAAGGGAGGGAGAGGCGGCTGCCTTTCCAGCGTGTCGCGTACAGCAGGAGAGAGCAGTCCAAGTTTCTTTTCAGCCCTTTGATGCAAGCCGCTGCAAATCCTCCCTCCCTTCCCCCGTGTCACCCGCGTGAGGAGGGGGCGCAGTTCTGGACTCTGTCCCTTTCTCTGCTCATTCCTCTGGGGGCGGGGGACGCAGCCAGCCCGGTGTCGGATAAAACGGACTCCTCTGGGCGGGAGTAAGCGGAGGCCACCTTGCCTCTGGGCCCCGAGTGAGGCCAGCCACCGCCATGTCCCGACCGTCCTCTCCTGGGCCCCCGCGTTACACTCTGCCCCGCTCGGCCCCGGCTCTCCCGCGCCGCGTGTACCAGCCCCACTTTCCCTTTGCGCGGGGATAGTCCCTCTTCTACGAGTGTGTTTTCGACAGGCCCCGAGAGCTGAGTGGTTAGGCCACGGGGACCCTGTAGGGGCCGTCGGGGTGGCCCAGCGTTTCTTGGGGGGGGGGGGGACTGAGCGCCCAGAGATGCCGGGACGGCGGCGCGGTTCTGTGGCTGTGCGCCCGCTGGGGCCGGGAGGGCTCCGGGCTGTGCGCCTGCTGCCCCGCGGTGTTTGTGGTGTTGGGTAGTTAACAGGTTTTGGAAGCAGCGTTATCTTTTCCAGAGTCCTGTAATCCCCATTACTGTGACGTTTAGTGCCTTTGCCAAGCCAGGAAATTCTGAGTTAATGGAGGTGGACCCTGGGTTGGGCTGGAACCAGGGAATGGTATCCTGAAACAAGACGAACTGCGGGAATGAATAGCCTTCACGTCCAACCCGCAAATGTCAGCGTTGAGTTTGGCTGCTTCGGAGGTTTTCTTCCTCCCTCCCTTCATTCATTCCTTCGTTCGTTCGTTCGTTCACTGATTCTTAGCTGAAGGTGGACGTAGGTGCTCTATTTGATTCTTGGTAAATTTCACGGGTTTGCTTTATCTAGCGAGGCAGAAATGAAAATAGTTTTTCCATGTGCTGAATTGGCCTGGGTTGGTTCTGAGCTGACAGTATAGCCTTAGCCCTATTTTTCTCCATTCCCTCTCTTTTATAGGGAAGGGAAGGCAGGGAGAAAGAGAGGGAGAGAAACATCAGTGTGAGAGAGAAACCTTGCCAGACCTGGACCAGGCCCACAACGGAGGCATGTGCCGACTGGGAATCAAACTGGCGACCTTTTTACCCAATCAACTGATCACGCTGCTCAGGGCTCTCTCTCCCCCTCTTTTTTAATGCAGAAAACTGCTGTATTCGTACATGAAGTCTCCCTTTATTCTTAAACAGCTGGTGCACCCCATAGAAGCAGTGCGGCTGCTGCCATAGTGAAAACTACGGTCATGTTAGACTGGAATTATTTCAGAACTGCTTCCCTGTAAACTGTGCCTTGGCAGGGCCACACGGCCTGGTTTGCTGGTGAGCCCTGGCAAAGCTTTCTGCCTTTCCTGCGAAAGCCAGCCAGACAAATGAGCCAGTCTTGGTACCTCTCTCCCCTCGTTTTGCCCCTTCCGTTAGCACATGTGATGAGAAGCAGCAACAGTGCAGCCAGTGTGGCCTTAGCGTCCGCAGAGGCTGGATTGGCCTGGGGGGCGGCCTTCAGCTCATGCTCATTGTTGGAGGGGCTCTCCCCTGTTGGCCTCTGAAATGTCATCCTTAGTTTAAAAAAAAAGAAAAGGAAAAACCCAGGAACTCTTTGTGCACTGGCAGTAGGAAGGTACAGAGACCATGCAGGGAAAAAGTGTGGGAAATGAACGATTACACATGCATTGGTGATTTGGGATTCTATTCTTTATGTCAACCAACCATAAAATTTAATTCAGGCCCTAGAATGACTTAGTGATTTGTGGGTTGAGGAAGAGGCGTATGAATGCAGTAGCTTTTGAAACTGCAGGAAGAAGACCCATGAACTTAGTGTGGGGGGCTCTGCAATGAAGGCAGAAGTCCCAAGACTCTCTGGAGGGGAGTCTGGAATAGCACCCGGACGTCCTGAGTTTAATAATCTAGTGTATAAAACTGTGCAGCCTTCCTTCCTCCTGAGTTGTTTCCACGGATTTTGAGACTAGAAAGTCTCTTCAAATTTCGTTCATCCTCACGATGAAAGGAAATATGTAGTATTTTTAGCTTGTAAAGTATGGGCATAAAAAGATAATGTGGTATGCAAGTGCAGGCAGAATTTAAATACTAGCTACAGTGTTTTAGGTGTAAGCGGACTTGCATTTCTTCTCTTGTTTCCTACTATTTGAGGCGAGGCTCTAATTCCCCATTTAGCTGGTTTTTCTGCACCCTGGCATTTTTTACAGGGCACCAGGCTTTAGTACTAGGCTTTGGGGGGTTGTCTGTCTAGTATTTCTGCCACTTCAGCCCCCTAGTCCGGGCTTATCACTGTATCCTGCAGGCTAAATAACTCACCTCCGTGTGGCAAAAACCGGAAAGCCAACTCACCTCGGACTGCCAGTTCAATACACCAAACAGGAGCTGGTGCCGACAACCACCCCGGGATTTGCTGCCCCACCTGGGGCTCAAGGCCGAGCTTCCGGGCAGGTGCCATGCTGGTGTCCGCGGCACGCTGTTTAAAATTCCACTGCGTCCACACACGCGTGGATCCCTCCACTCCCCAGATTTTGCTTTTTCCTATAAATTGATGATTTGCACTTCAAGGGTGCCTTTGCTTTGAGCATCTGAATGCCTTAAAATTTTAATCATGTTAAGTCTCCTCCCCTGGGCCCTGGGTTGCTGGCAGTGGATGGAGCCTCGGAAGAGAGAGATTTCCAGTGAAATGAACCTGCCTCTGGGTAAAGCGTGGCTGTTCAGCGTGGCGAGGGGAGGGTTCCCCAGCCTGTGAAGAATGTCCTCTCCTGAGAGAGAGTGTGCCAGGCCCCAGACCCCCCCTCCGTGCCCCCAGCTCTCTGGGAGGTGAGGGACAGTGACAACAGACCGCACACCGAGGATCCAGGCAGCCTGCTCCCTTTGCGGCCGTCTTACTTCGTGGGCACAAGCTGCTGCAGCCCTTCCCTCTGGGGGCCCAGGTAGAGCACTTAGGGCGTGAACTTGCCAGAGGCGTTGAGGATTGGGGGCCTCTTCTTGGACTGATGAGGGGCCTCCCTTGGTTGGCGCATGGTACCTGGACATGTAGGGGAACTTTAGGGTGTGAAGCTGGGGAAGGAGTTCGGGACTAAATTGTAGGGCGCTTCAAACGCCCGGCTGACTTTTTGGCGTTTAATTGAGTTGATCACAGGGAACGAGTGATGTTTTTGGAACCAGTGGACGGTCAGATGGAGGGGAATGGCACAGATCTATTTATTGGCGTTGAGTGAGAGCAGTTTTCTACTCCTTTCTGCTCGGCGCCCTTTACTGATTTGCCGATCCCCTCTGGTCCTCAGTTTCCTCTGCTTTACAGTGGAGATAATTATTTTTACTTTGTCGCAGAGAACTAAATGCCATTAGCAGATCCTGGCAAATAATAGATGCTGAATAAATGGTGTGGGGGTGGGGGGAGAAGAAAAAGGAGAAGCCTAACTATTCCCTTGGAAATACAGTGAACCAGGAATCGTGTCCCTGATTTCTGGAAAATTGTTGCTGTTTCTTTTTTTCAGTCCCTCATCCATTCCTCCAAGATTTGCTTGGTTCCTTTGGGCTTGTCCTGCCAACCTTGAATGATACTAGGATTGCCTTTTTGGAAAGGGGTCCAGACACTAGGCCAGGTCTTATGCCCTCTGTGGCGTCAGAGTGGGGTTCCCGTCAGTGGGCTGAGGACCCACTTTTCTGTGGGGGTGTGGGCCCTCCGGGTGTCACTGTGGAGGTGTCCCTAAGTGGAGTTCTCCCAAGGTGATGAGGCTCCGCCCACTCCCCACTCAGGCACTGGGCTCTTCTGCCCCTACAGCCTTGCTTCTCCTGGCAGCAGAGGAGATGGCTATCATCACTCAAGTATGCATGGTTTGAGGTTGAACACGAGGCTGCCGTGTGCTGTGATGGGCGTCAGCAGATCTGGGATCATGCCCGTGGGTGGTTGCGAAGGGGGTGACCCCAACCACACACCACCAGTAATCAGTTTGGAGTTTAAAGAAATTCCATTTGAGATAGATGCGAGTTGGATGTTGAGGTGAGGAGGGCAGTAGCAGGGGAAGACCCGTTGGGTAGCCAGAGACTCTGACAAATTGGCATTTGTAACATAAACTTTTCTCTAAAGGAAACAAAGTTTCTGCATTCTGGAGTTACACTGTGGCTTCCTCCGGGTGCTCAAACATAATGGAAACAGATTGTGACTGATAAACGGTGTAAAAATAATGAGTTCTCCTCTTAACCCTCTAGCAGAAATGAGAAAAGCAGCTGTAAGCAGCACGGAGCGGCTTGCTCGGCCCTTGGCAGATCTTGGGGTGGGTGGGAGAGGCCCAGGAAGTTAAGGGTGTGTGGCGGCTTCGGGCCACCTGTACACCTCTCTGCTCCTGGAGAGGGGTGGGTGTCCTGTTTGGATTTGTGGGTGGTGAAGTGATCAGAAAAATGATTGAGGCTGGGGAGGTTATATATATGTAATTTCTCATTGCTGCCA